CCTAAGGGCGGGGCGCAGGCGGGAGGTGCCTGGGCAGGTGGAGGTCCGCGCCCCGTTGAGCGCGGCACGGGATCGGCGAGGACAGGCGCGTTTTGTGGAATTTCATGGTCACCCCCCCTCTCCTTTTAATGTTTTTCAAAACTGGCGAGACGACCCTGAACCGGAGTCCTGCACGGTAGGGCGTGGAGGGTAGGAGTGGGGGCAGGAGAAAGCCCGGGGACAAACGGTCAGGGAAGGGGGTAACCGAAGACAGAAGGACTGCCTGGTGGGAGGACGGGCTCAGGAGAAAATGTCCCCACGGGAAGGGCTAGGAAAGCAGACGCCTCATCTAAATCGCGGTCGCTTTGTGGTAATTGCCATACCTGCAGTATTGTGTAAATCCTGGAGAGAAATGTGTAAGTCATCTCAACTTTATCTCTTAAAAATGCGATTTTTAAAGTGCAGCTCCATTTAACATAGTTCACTTAAGGCCCCCATATTTCTTTTTTTCCCTCTTTATCTGTATTGTTGAGAGTATTACAGGTGTCCCATTCACCCCCCCCCAGGTGACCACCTCCACCTTGCTGCGACCCCCTCCCCAGGCCTTCACGCGTTATTGTCTGTGTCCATGGGTTATGCATATATGCATATAACTTCTTTGGTTAATCTCTTCCCACCCTCCACCCCCTTCCCTCTTCCCTCTGAAATATGATGTCTGTTACATGCATCGATGTCTCTGGATCTATTTAGTTCATCGCATTCTTTTGTTCATTAGCTGCTTCTTAAAGAAGACTCTTCAACTTTTCCTGTAGTGCTGGTCTGGTGGTGATGAACTCCTTTAGCTTTTCCTTGTCAGAGAAGCTCTTTATCTGACCTTCAGTTCTAAATTATAGTTTTGCTGGGTAGAGCAATCTTGGTTGTAGTTCCATGTATTTCATCACTTTGAATTTTTCTTGCCATTCCCTTCTGGCCTGCAAGGTTTCCATTGAGAAATCAGCTGACAGTCATATGGGTGCTCCCTTGTAGAGAACTAATTGCTTTTCTCTTGCTGCTTTTAAGATTCTCTCTTTGTCTTTAACCTTTGGCATTTTAATGATGATGTGTCTTGCTGTGGGCCTCTTAGGGTTCCTCTTGTTTGGGACTCTGTGCTTCCTGGACTTGAAAGTCTGTTTCTTTCCCCAGGTAGGGGAAGTTTTCTGTAATTATTTTTTCAAATAGGTTTTCAATTTCTTGGCCTCTTTCTTCCCCTTCTGGCATCCCCATAATACGAATGTTGGGCCTCTTGAAGTTGTTCCAGAGGCTCCTTATACTATCTTCATATTTCTGGATTCTTTTTTCTTTTTGTTCTTCTGGTTGGGTGTTTTTTGTTTCCTCATGTTCCAAATTGCTGATTTGATTCTCAGTGTCCTCTACTGTTGATTCCCTGTAAATTATTCTTCATTTTAGTTCATGTAGTCTTCATTTCAAATTGGTACTTTATTATGTTATCAATTTTCTCAGTTATTTTCCTAATAATATGCTTAAACATCCTTATAAACAAAATTCTGAACTCTGTATCTGTTAGCTTGCTTGGATCTATTTCATTTAGTTCCTCTTCTAGAGATTTCTTCTGTTCTTTCCTTTGTGACATGTTTCTTTGCCTCCACATTTTGGCTGCTTCCAGGTGTTTGTTTCTATGTATTAGGTAGAGCTGCTATGTCTCCTGGAATTGGTAGAGTGGCTTTGTGTAGTAGGTGTCCTGTAGGGTCCAGTGGCTCAGCCTCCCCAGTCACCTGGGCTGGGCCTTCTAGGTGCTCACCTGTGTGGGCTGTGTGCACTGTCCTGTTGTAGTTGAGTCTTGGTTGCTATTGGCGTCACTGGGAGGAATTGAGCCCCAGGCCAATCAGCTGTGACGACCAGCTGCAACTACAACCAAAGAGCTACTGTGCTGGAGACCCCCCCCTATGGAGCAGGATTTACTTCAGTGGAGCTTTGGTGTTCACCAAGTGCGCCCCTTGAGTGTGTCACTCGTGGATGTGGTAGGGTTGTAATCCAGTGTGGTCGAGGCCGACCACCAGGTGCACTGTCTCTGGGGCCTCCTTGGAGGTGCAAAGTCAGCCTCTGCCAGTGCGTTGCCCAGGGCCACCCAGAATGAGCTACAAAGCAACCCGTAGTTGGCTGCTACTTGTGCTGGGCTTGGAAGTGTCCGGGAGAGGCCAAGCTATGAGCCAATGCAGGCTGCCGCTAGTGCCAGGCCTGGGGCCACTTATCGAGTATGGGGCCCGCTGCTGCTTGTTTGAGAGATTTTAGGAAAGTCCTAAGCATAAGGCTTGAGAGGCCACTTGCAGAGAAAAGCCACTGGAAATGGCCTGGATAAGCCTGCAGGTGGGGAGGGGCGGGGCCGGGCCTCCAGGAATCTCAGGGCGGGGCCAAAGGTGTGGGTCGGGTGCTGGCGATTCAAATATGGCGCCTGCCTTCGGGCTGTGTTCGGGGAGGACTCGCCAAAGGAGCAGTGGCCTCCACCAGCTCTTCTGCCTGAGAGGAAGCTGCCCCTCCAGCTCTTGCCCCGATTTCAGGCAGGTTAGTTCCTCCCCAAGTGTCCCAGGTCCTTTCAGGCTGCTGCCCGGTGCTGGGCTCAGAGGGAGCTNCGTCACTGGGAGGAATTGAGCCCCAGGCCAATCAGCTGTGACGACCAGCTGCAACTACAACCAAAGAGCTACTGTGCTGGAGACCCCCCCCTATGGAGCAGGATTTACTTCAGTGGAGCTTTGGTGTTCACCAAGTGCGCCCCTTGAGTGTGTCACTCGTGGATGTGGTAGGGTTGTAATCCAGTGTGGTCGAGGCCGACCACCAGGTGCACTGTCTCTGGGGCCTCCTTGGAGGTGCAAAGTCAGCCTCTGTCAGTGCGTTGCCCAGGGCCACCCAGCATGAGCTACACAGCAACCCGTAGTTGGCTGCTACTTGTGCTGGGCTTGGAAGTGTCCGGGAGAGGCCAAGCTATGAGCCAATGCAGGCTGCCGCTAGTGCCAGGCCTGGGGCCACTTATCGAGTATGGGGCCCGCTGCTGCTTGTTTGAGAGATTTTAGGAAAGTCCTAAGCATAAGGCTTGAGAGGCCACTTGCAGAGAAAAGCCACTGGAAATGGCCTGGATAAGCCTGCAGGTGGGGAGGGGCGGGGCCGGGCCTCCAGGAATCTCAGGGCGGGGCCAAAGGTGTGGGTCGGGTGCTGGCGATTCAAATATGGCGCCTGCCTTCGGGCTGTGTTCGGGGAGGACTCGCCAAAGGAGCAGTGGCCTCCACCAGCTCTTCTGCCTGAGAGGAAGCTGCCCCTCCAGCTCTTGCCCCGATTTCAGGCAGGTTAGTTCCTCCCCAAGTGTCCCAGGTCCTTTCAGGCTGCTGCCCGGTGCTGGGCTCAGAGGGAGCTCGTCTGAGTGAGTCCATGTGCGGGCCCTTTAAGAGGAGCTGCTGGGGCTCCCGCAGCCTCCGTGACCCTCGGTGACAGTCCCCGCTGGTTTCATAGCCCGGAGTTGTGGGGACTTTCCCTGGCCCTGGAGCCCTGGGTTGGGAGCCTGATGTGGGGCTGGGACCCCTCACTCCTCCAGGAAACCTCCCCCGCAGAGATGTACTCCTGAGTTTAAACTGCGGCACCGGGTGTGGGCCCGCAGCCACGTCTCCGGAATCCACCCCCAGTCCGTCCGAGTCTCTGCCCCTCCTACCGGTCTTATTGCTCCTTCAGTTCCCTGGTTGTAGGGCTTCTGTTCAGCCAGATCTCAGGAGGCACTGAGTGATGGTGGTTCTGTATTTTAGTTGTGATTTTGATGTGGTTGTGGGAGGCAGTGGGTGCAGCTGTTAACTATGCCGCCATCCTGTTTTTCTCCAAGGCCCCCATATTTCTTGTGAAGGGATGTGACCTAACATGCCAGTCGTGTCAGGATTAATGATATATCACATAAATTGATACCATGTGATTAAAAAAACAGGACTTTGTCTAAGTCAACAGGTAATTCCCTATTTAAAATTCCCTAAATAAAAACAAAAACAGAGGAACTGTTGTCTTGCTGGAAAGATGTACATATACTTCCAGAAAATGAATTAAGAGATGGCTTTGCTTTAATTTTCATGATTCTCTTAGGACAGTGAGCTACCTTTCCTGGGAGGGGTCTAGAGTTACAATTTTGGTTACATTTTTAGATCAATGCAATCCTTTTTTTCCCCCCCAGCCACAAATTTCTGTTGTAACTGTAGTAAGATGAATCTAATTTTGCATTCTTATTTATGCTAATATTTCTTTACAGGTGATTTTTGATGGGCACAAAAGTCTTCTCTGAAGAGCATTGTACAGTTACTGAAGGATGGCAGAAGCAGTGTTGATTGATCTCTTTGATTTGACACTGAACTCTCAGAAAAACTTTCAGACATTACTGAAGACATTGAACGCTGTTCCACACCACCATGCGGCCAAGACCAAGTTCCGCTGCATAATGTGTTGCAGTAACATCAGCTGTGAAAGGAACAGTGACCGTGATTCTTATGATTTAGAAACAAGCAATGGGTTATCAGCTCTCTTGAGAGAATTTGAGACTGTTAGCAATCCCAGTATGGCTGCCTTGTTGTATACCATTAAACAAAAAATTGATGAAAAAAATCTCAGCAGCATTAAGGTAATTGTACCCATGCACCGGAAGGCATTAATGAAGGCTTTTATTGATCGACTCTTCACCGATGTTTACAATTTTGAGTTTGAAGATTTACAGGTAACTTTGAGGGGAGGTCTTTTGAAACAGTCCACGGAGATAAACATGATCACAACTCAAGAACTAGAAGCTATACAGAATGAAATAGAAACGTATTTGAGAAGTCTGCCAGCACTGAAAGGAGAATTAACCATTATCACATCTCCTTTGATCTCAGGTATATTACACACTATCTGTTGTCTTCACCATGTAGGTGAAAAACCAGTGGTTCTTTAGAAGTCGTTCACTTCTTTTTTTCCTTCTTTCTTTTGAGTACTGTCTAGGCTGATGTGCTCATTAGCATCAGTTGCAACATGGGAATGTCATGGATGGTTTTATAGTATTAGGGATGTCAAGGGATAGTCCCTTTAAAACCGTCTACATAGATAAGTTTGCTTTGTGCAAATTCAGCTTTAAGACAGATCCCCAGGCTTCCTTTAAAATGAGATTTCCTATTTAGCAGTTCTGAAACCTTAAATTCATTGGCATCATTATGGAACAGTGAAATTTTAAACGGTCAATCTTACGCCTTGGTTTAATGATATTTACTATGAGCTATATGCTATTGTGGATAACAAAGACAAATGGGACAGAAGATACCCTTTGAGGAGCAATTACTCCATAGGAATGCTAAGACAAACACAAAGCAGTGCATAATACGTGGAGGGACAAAGTGCTATAAAAATTAGGTGCCAGATAAATGCAGGTTGAAGTGATCAGGGAAGGTCTTAACCAAGAGATAGGGTCTGTAATGCTTTTTATAGTTTTTTGCATAGTGTATTTTTAATCTTTACTGCTTATCTTCAGCAGATATTTTCATACATGGATTTACTACAAGAACAGGTGGGATATCTTATATACCAACTCTCAGCTCATTCAATCTCTTCAGTAGTTCCAAACGGAGAGATCCCAAGGTAGTTGTTCAAGAGAATCTGCGTAGATTGGGAAGTGCTGCAGGATTTAATGTGAAGAAATTTTACCGAATAAAGGTAAAATTGTGTTTCATATTTTAGAAGATCTAAAGTATATTATTGACTCTGCTAATGTTTAGTGGACTTAAATCAAGCTACTTAACTTTTGCATCTGGCGTTTTATCTAAAACTTTAGGATAATGCTTTCAGTTGATCAGTATACCATAGCCTACAAATCAATTCTATGTGTTTTTTTTATTTATTTATTTATTTATTTATTTATTTATTTATTTAT